TATTTCTTATTTATTTATTTTATTTTGCACATAAATTTACAATAACATTTTCAAGTCTCACAATGTCCAGCGATATTTCAGCAGCCGTCATGTTTATTTACATTGGATATTGTAGTTCCGGTCAGTGTTGTATTAATACGCTAAGAATTATGTCTCGTGCTGCATGGTAATTAAAGTCCCATCAACGACACATGTATCAAGTGTTTCAGAACATGAAAAACAACATATAATTATAATTGATTATCAACTACTTGATTCAAATTAGCAAGTGCTTTTCAGTTGGCGTTTTTTCATGGCCTTTGATTGTCAGCTTTTGTATTATATATTGGTATTATTACATCGTAAACAAGCCAGATCGCTAAATAACATACACAAATCACTAGTCATTGTATAAATTCGTCGACGAGATTCCTTGACAGGTCGGTGGCACTATTCCTACTTCCTGATTGTTGTCGTCTGTATTGACATGCCAGTTCACCTGCTGTTTGGCCATCACTTTCTTGTAAGTTCTAAAAGCCAATCAATAGCTACGTAGCTATATAAATCTTGAATGATAGATTAACTGACGTTGTTAAATATACGTCTTTGATTCTGTGGTAACTATATATAGGATACTTGGGTGATGTATGTAGTGGGATCCGGAGGGGGAAATAGACACAACAAATATTGTGGTGTAAAACGTTCTTACAAATGGTCAATACATTTTTCCCTTCCATCGTTCCCACGTCTTTCTTGAACTGGCATTCCTTGGTCGCTGTTGCATTACCAGTCCAAAAAGACATTATTTTGCCGATGAAGCGTACCATATAAACAAAACAACGTATGCAGTTTGAGAGCAATTTCATACGTCAGAGTTGTATGATTGGTTAGAAACAAGTTAGTGAATACACATTTACGTCATCATATTCTAGGTGATTTTATCAACTGTATTACCGCTGTGTTGTGTCAAAGTTGTGGTCGGAATAAAAAAAACAAGATTATCATAGTTCAGACACTGACTGGGGCATTCATAACACGAAATTATCGTGATACACTCGTCAACAATATTTAACCGCAATGGCCGCACTTTTTTCTGTCTATGAATTGCTTTTGATACACTTTCGTACCTTTCCATGTGCTGAGATGGATAGTTTTCGTATTCTTTTTGTGTCGATCCAAGCGCTGACCTAAATGCCTTTGTATCTATCCGCAAACTGATGTGAAAGGTTGGTCTATCAACGAACTAGGGCGGCCTTTTTTGGGTCTCTCAATGAGCCTACAAAGGATTGGGTTTAACTTCTCCACGAGCTTAGAATACTGGTTTTTGTGTCTCTCTATTAGCATAGAGAGGGCTTGTTTTTGACCTCTCCGTGAGCATTAAGAGGGCTGATTTTTGACCTCTCCGTGATCTTTGAAGGCTGTTTTTTTTACCTCTTCGTGAGCATAAAAAGGGCTGTTTTTTGACCTCTCCGTGATCTTTGAAGACAGGTTTTTGACCTCTCCGTGAGCATAAAGAAAACTGGTTTTTGACCTCTCCGTGAGCATAAAGAGGGCTTATCTTTGACCTCTCCGTGATCATAACGAGGGCTGATTTTTTTACCTCTCCGTGAGCATAAAGAGGGCTGATTCTTTACCTCTCCGTGATCTTTGAAGGCTGGTTTTTGACCTCTTCGTGAGCATTAAGAGGGCTGGTTTTTGACTTCTCCGTGATATTTGAAGGCTGGTTTTTGACCTCTCCGTGAGCATAAATAGGGCTTGTTTTTTACCTCTCCGTGAGCATAAAGAGGGCTGATCTTTGACTTCTCCGTGATCTTTGAAGGCTGGTTTTAGACCTCTCCGTGAGCATTAAGAGGACTGGTTTTTGACCTCTCTGTGAGCATAAAGAGGGCTGATCTTTGACTTCTCCGTGATCTTTGAAGGCTGGTTTTTGACCTCTCCGTGAGCATAAATAGGGCTTGTTTTTTACCTCTCCGTGAGTATAAAGAGGTCTGATTTTTGACCTCTCCGTGAGCATAGAGAGGGTTGATTTTTTACCTCTCCGTGAGCATAGAGAGGGCTGATTTTTTACTTCTCAATGAGCTTAGAGTGGGCTGGGTTTTGACCTCTTTGTGAGCATAGAAACGGATGGTTTTTGACCGCTCCTTGAGCATAGAGAGGGCTGTTTTTTACCTCTCCGCGAGCATAGAGAGAGCTGGTTTTTGACCTCTCCGTAAGCATAGAGAGGGCTGGTTATCGACCTTTCCTTGAGCTTGACTATGGAGAAGTTTGGTTTTGACCAGACTGTGAGCTGAAGGCCGGTTTTTTACCTCTCCGTGAGCTTGGAAGGCTTGTTTTGACCTATCCACTAGCTTAGAGGACTGTATGTTTACCTGTATGTGAACTTAGTAGGCTTGTTTTAACCTCTCCGTGATCTTAGAAGGCTTGTTTTAACCTCTTCACAAACTTAAAGGGCTGTATGTGAACTTAGAAGGCTGGTTTTTGACCTGACTGGGAGCTAAGAAGTTTGATTTTTAACCTCTCTGTGACTTAAAAGGCTGACTGTTTTCTCTATGTGAGTTTAGGACATTGGTTTATGTGTCTCTCTGTGAGCTTAGGACACTGGTTTTTGTGTCTCTCTGTTAGCATAGGACGCTGGTTTTGTGTCTTTCTTTGAGCTGAGGACGCTGGTTTTTGTGTATTTCTTTGAGCTTAGGACGCTAGTTTTTGTGTCTCTCCACGAGGCTAGCTAGATTGATGGAGAATAATTTCTGCGTCAGAAAGGACCTGTCTATATCATACGGTCTTATCCAACATTTAGCTTACATTGCACAGTATCCCACTTCGTCATAAACATTCACTTATACATATATCAAAGTTTCCAGACATGTCGTTAACATTCAATGAAATAGAGGTTTATCAAAATGTCTAGTCTTGTGGTAAACATTCACTGAAATACAAGCATATCTAAGTTTGTCAGATATATCCGACCTTGGACATAAACGTTCACATATACAAGTCTAACAAAGTCTCAGCATTGTCAAAAATATTCATACATATAAAAGTGAGTTGAAGCCTTGTCATAACATTCCCCTGGCACAACGTTAATATACAATACCAACTGACAATCTCAACTCCGAAATAATGAGTGAGGATGTTGGTGATTCCGTTGTGATCGCGACCCACACACGGTGTGGACTGAGTACGAACATCACCTGTTACGGTACGAGAGTGTTCGCCGTGAGCAGCGACAACAACGAATTACTGGACACTTAAATCAGGTGTACATGACATATCGCCATTCTATAAAAAACGTGATTGACAGGTAAGGGAAAGTAGGTAAGTGAGGCTACTACAATGTGTCTGTCGGGCGATACTCTCCTATAAACAGACAATAACTTATCTTACAATGGCCGACATTTATAAACAAACCAATTCCGTCAGATTCTCAGAAAGAAACTCATACTTAAAAGAGAAATCCAACCAAATATATTTCAGATTGACCAGCGTTTTTCTGTCGAATATGCAATTCAAACTGAAACATTTCTGTACATTTTTTGTGTTAGTTCAATTGGTACTTTGGACACCAAGTCATACAGTTTGAGTTACCCAAGCTAGACGAGGATGCAGTTAAATTATTTTTCAGTGACTATGAGTTTGACACTTCACTCAAAATAGTCGAGTTTTTTTCAAACCAAACACTTAATTCTCACTGATCGAAGATCACTTTCCTTGTCGTTATCACAAAAAATGCAAGCAAATACAATGAATAGCGAATTTTAATTGTGACGTCATAATAGCTTTGTCTGATGTGCAGTAGAATTTACCACGCTGGATATAGTGAAAACCTTTAAAACATATTTTGACGTAGTTCTGTCTTCTTTTTTTTCTAGAATAAAACTCACTTGTAGACGAGAATAAGCATTAAAAGGAACGTTTTGGCTAATCACGGTGTTATGAAAAACAAATGCAAACATTTGTAAGGTCTAAAACACACACGACCTAGATTTGTGTAGTTTGCCAATAGCCGTCAACAATCTTATAACGCGTTCAACTCGGATTTCACAAATAACAAATTATAAATAACAGGTCGTTACATGTAACGTTTGTGTCCTCACATACTTGCCGCTATGTTAGTAGTGTAGCCACACGGTTTGAGTTTGTCACAGGTTATCAGCGTGTCGTCACATGTTATCAGGGTGTCGTCATATGTTATTAGCGTGTCGTCACAAGTGCGTCGACAATTTTTATTAACGTATTGTCACATTTTATATGTGTGTGGTCAAATGTTATCAGTGTGTCGTCACAGGTTATCAGCGTGTCGTCACATGTTATAAGTGTGTCGTCCTTGGCTATCAATGTGTCGTCAAATATTACAAGTGTCCGTACATGTTATAAGTGTGTCGTCACTGGCTATCAATGTGTCGTTAAATGTTATTAATGTGTCGTCACTGGCTATCAATGTGTCGTCAAACATTACAAGTGTCCGTACATGTTATAAGTGTGTCGTCACTGGCTATCAATGTGTCGTCAAATATTACAAGTGTCCTTACATGTTATAAGTATGTCGTCACAAATCATCACGCTGCGCTTATGAGTCATATAAGTACAAACACCGTGTCAGCAATATCTTTGATGTCGATTTAGAAAACAGTAGCCGATTTTTGTTCTTTAAGAAATCCCATTTACGTCCTTTGTATATTTATTCAGTTGTTTTTATAACACAACGCGGACGTTTGTTTCGTTGTACGTATATTGTAATCAGGACATTAACATGTAGCTGTGTAATAACGTATGTTTTAATAACGGTGATGGTAGAAAACGGTGATGGTAGAAAACGGTGATGGTAGAAAACGACTATTATTTAAGATATCTCAACACTGGATGTTGTATTCGGGTTTCCAAAACTACCAACACTGTAGAGATAGAACGTCCCGGAGTTTCAATACTGAGACAGTAGTTGGCTAGTGTGCGTTATAGACACAGACTTTCCCATTACCACCTCTGTACACACCTCTCAGTGACAAAGAACTAGTTCCACTTACCTTGCTGTTCCTGAGAACTCTTCTACTCTGGTATATCCGGTCCGTATAATCTTTTGTAAATTCCTTGTGATCCGTTAATTATATTTTTTATTGTTTAGAAATGTCGGACCTAGATAAGTCCTCACAAATCAAGGAAAGGTGCACCTCATTAGCATACGGTAGGATAGCCTGGGGGCTACGAGAAAGCTAGTCACGTGCTCAATGACAGCTACTCGTCAACGTAATACGTCAAACACAAATAGCCTGACGAACGCCGTTGTTATCTCTAAATGCATTTGTCTCTGCGCAGATGCATTCAAAACGAAAGGCGGAAATTATCTTAACTATGCTTGGTTTATTCAATTGAAAAGTTGAATAATGATGGACACTGTCCGAAAGGTCGTTACACCTTTGAGTATCGTCCCTGACCAGATATGACACGGTCACGGGGACACGTGTTGCTGTGATAGGACACACGGGGTTATTGTTTAAATCGCCCCCTCACATTACGTAACGGCAGTCAGCCCAATTACGCACTCCGGTGCTCGTGAAATTAATGTTGAAAGTTCGCTCATGTGTAGAGAAGTGATTTGTTCAGGTGTGAATAAGTGCCTGAAGGTGATATATTATCTATGTAAGCTATGTGTGATATAGCGATTTCTTTTTTAAGTGACTTTCCCGTCGGCGATACTTACTGATGTAGCGTTATACAGCCCTGCTTTACAAACGTATTATCTTGCAATTTACTGTATATCAATCACCTCGGTTACGTTACATTTCCGAATGTGTCTCTTTATAATTTGTTTAATAATGAGAGCTCATACATTTATAAATGTTTGAACGAGTGACATCACTCCAGCCCATGGGACGGAATTTAAATGTCGTGGAAGGACGTCATGATGCCTTGTACATGTTACGTCATAATACACTGTGAAACACGTTTTACGGACCGATATTTACATTTCCATTGCATAACTAACATGAACCTATACAAATGTTGTTATATACCAATCACAGCAAGAACTTTTACACGTGAATGTTTTCCCATCATACTGTTAGAGTATTCGGGGACCAATAATGTAACTATAGAAAACATGACCCTGTTTCCGCAAAAAATAGCACTATTTGGTAAAAAAGTTTGTTCAAAATGTGTATCATGAACCGAAATATACCACTCAGAAAGATGCAATACAATTTTCTTTGTTGTATCGGTTTGGTTTGACTTGGTTTTAATTTTGTTTAACGTCCCAGTAACAGCTAGGGTCATTTCAGGAGGTGCCTCCATTTGTGTAGTGTATGCGTGCTTGCGTGTTTGTATGTAGGAGACAGGATATACTGGTGTGCTTGCCTGCTTGTGATAACGCCCAACATTCAAGCCAAAAGTGAGGTGGTGCCAAGCAAGGCGCTAGAAAATAAAAGTTAGTTTGAAGTAGAAAGAAAGATAAAGATCCCAAATATTGCATTGGGCGCAGCAGATTTATTTTGGTTTTGTATCGGGCGTATATACATGCATAGAGGGATTATTTAAAATGTTTCTTTTAGATATTTATGATGGTATGTAACGTAGTTTAAAAAATCCATGATGTGTAGTAGCGTATCTATCATATTATGCTTGAAAGGAACTGTAGACAACTTAAATGTTTAAAGATGCATTTCAATCCTTCAATGGATGATTTTCGCTACTTTGGGGTTGAGACAGAAATGCCAAACCAAGAGGTAGATTCTGAAATGCCTAGCCCTTATCTGGTGAATTATGTTGTTCATTTCCATACTATAATTGTACGTGTTTTCGGAGAAAAATAAAACAAATTTTATTTGGGACTTGCTCAGCTATTTAAAGACATGGATTTGGGTCAAACCACTTCAACCTTAGCCAATTAGTGAAAATTGTTATTACAACAAACAACAACACGTTTTGCGCGAGCTTCTTGTCTTACCCCGGCTGTATCCCTGAACGCATACATTTTAAAAACACATATCAGGAGATATGTTTTCATAGTGATTATAGCCTATTTCGTTAAAGTTAGTTTGATTTACCTGTGCTTTTTACCTGTGTTTTTACCTGTGTTTTTATCTGTGTTTTTCACCTGTACATGTGAAAGAAATTCCAGATTGTTATGTTATAATTTTTTTAGATGAAATTAAAATGTATATGAAGACGTACATTTATTATATAGGTTAAATGCCCCTATTATCTTTTTTTCATTCCGATAACAATAAATTATTGCGATTTAAATTTCATTTATTTTATGATTTTCTATCAAAATAATTTGTTAAAGTTACTTGTTCAAAAGTTAAATTGCAAATGAAATGTATTAATTTAAAAACTGTTCACTTCTCTGAGATCAGTTAAAATAGTAGTGAACTGTATTAATGGAGCCCAAGCTACAGATGGCATGACACTTTGAGGTGAGCATCCAAGCTATCTATCCATATAAACTTCAAAATTATCTTCAATGCTATCATTCTACAATTTGTTCTGATACTGTTAATTTCCAATCATGGCTAATGCTCAGTTAGATTATAAGTTCATTAGAAATAGAATAGGTGGTAACAACTTAGCATATAACGGTCACTTGTACAGAATTAGGTCATCTCGTGGAGAAAGGTAAATGATCATGCATAGGTTTATTATTTACCAATAAATAATTCAGAAGTTTATTAAAGTTTGGAAAGAACATTAATACATAGAAATGAAACTGTTTCTGGTTGCAATATTAAAGTAATAAGAGACAAAATGCTTAACTGTTTGCATATTTCACTCTAAGATATAATTGATAAATTAATACTATACATTTGTGAAAATTTTACCATTTGTCATCAAAATTAAGAATCCCTTTTTATTTCTTTCATAACTCACTGGAGATGCACCATACCGACTGAGCTACGATCAATACCCGCAACAACATCATAGTAGGATTCGGACGACATCCACACGATCACCCGGGAGATCACGCCAGCGTTGTTGCCAAGGAGATCATGAACTCCATTACTGACCGCTGCCAGCAAGAAATTAGACCAATTCCTACCATCTTCAATGAGGAACTCTATAAACTGCGCGACGACGAATGGGATGATGAGACAAGAGCCGTTGTGGAGAAGATACCCACCTTCAACACTTTGAAATCTCAACTGTACAGAGCTAGACGCAAGCTAACACCAAAGCTACCAACCACAACCCAGGACATTGAACTCGAGGGAAGATGGACAGAAACCACTACTGGAGAGCGCTTCTTGCACATTGACGATGGTGACCAATGCAGAGCTCAACAACTTTGTAATGCACTGACTTAGTTTCATTATTTAATATCTTTTAAAATATATTATGTCTTTCACTGTTTTATTTGTATTTTATATAAATAATATATTGATATAAAGTATGGATTTATCAAATAAAAATATTGCACTTGATATTAATGTCTCAGTTTTCTTTCACATTGATGATGAAGATCAACTGTTGGGGCTGTCACAGGTAGATCTACAGGTAAAACATAGTACATATATGATCCAAACTTGTTACCTGTAATAATCACAGGTAGATCTACAGGTAAAATATATCAGGTAACATATATGATACAAACTATAATTACCCTCCCTTTGATGTTTCTACCTATTGTTCTCAATATGTATGCGTTCAGGGAACACACCCTTACCTCACGTGAAAGATTGACCGAGAAATTATTCAAGAATAAAACTTAAGACAAATCTGCGAAAGAAAAGAGCGACCCAGTCGTAGACGTCAAATCATTTTCACCACAGAAAACTGTCAGAATGGTCGCTGCTCCGCCTGGAAAAAAATACTTATACCAAATTCCGTAAAAATGATACTTGTTATTCTTTGCTAACGTTCAGCATTTAGGGAAATGACAACAACTGAGTCAGGTGTGAATACGTGGTCATTTTCCTACCAAAAGTGAGATAGCACTAGAAAGTCGGCATCAGATCCGCGCTATCACAAAGATGCAAATTACACAAATGCACGCCTACACAACACATAGGGAGATCCCTGACATACCTTACCGAATACACACAAGAATAAAGAAGGAAAACATGAGAGTGCTGACAAACACATACTCTTTCTAATTTATTATATTCAACTAATTTTGCGAAAATAAATTGACATGACCAAATGTCAGCAATACTAAAGAGGCTGCCATACATGTCCCTTCCAGTAGACCTGAACAAAGTCTTTTTTCCTACCAACTGCTGAACGTAGCACATGCTTCTGATAAGAATTCACAAAGAGTTTGGTACAGAAGTTATATTGGTTAATTGATACTGTTACATTTGCTCTTGCCGAATGGAAAGTTCTTGTATCGGTTTGGGTACCACGGAAAAGTTCAAATACAATAAAATAGGTAAGTGGTCAGAGTCGACAATGTCCAAAAGACTGGGTGAAATAAACAGTTATTGAAGAAGAGGTGGATATCTCAAAGACCCAAATATCAATTACACGGTTCTTTGCCTAAAATGTTATTTTAAACTATTAAAGAAACGGCAAAGACCAATTGAGATTGATTCTTCCGATCATAATGAAAGTTAAACATTTGAGGTTGTCAATGAAGAACCTCCTATAGAACCAAACAGTCTAATTATTGCTGCATCATCGCATCGGGAATGAAGTATATTTAAGGGTTGACCTTTATTTTGACGGCGTATACGGTAGTATGAACGCAGTTGTCAACGAACATATTCTAGGTTGTGCGTTAGCGCTCCTTAAAGAATATGTTCGTTGTCAACTGCGTTCATACTACCGTATACGCCGTCAAAATGAAGGTCAATCCTTATATTGACATTCGAATAATGTTGAAATGCTACATTACGCAGAAAAAAGTCGAAGCGGGTTGCCACGTTTTGACTACGGTAGCCGTGGTTGCTAGGACAATACAGTTTCAGTGAATCTACATCGGTATATGAGTAAATTTAGAAAATACGCAGTGAACAACACTATGTGTTTTCCTTTCACTGTTTTTTAATTTTAAAGTTAGCAATGTGAGAAGCCCTTCGAACTTTTCTGTTCATTTAGAACGGTCGTCATGTACGCGCATTGGCACACTGCTCATTGAGTGACGCGGTCAGAACGAAGCAGCCATTGTTGACGTTACCGACAAAGAAATTTGAATGTGCATCCATGGAATTAGAAGTTTGTCAGCATTCTTTTGTTGTATAATTAGACATGATAGATCCCGAATATGTTCTATGTATCTAGATTGTGAATGATCCATGCATTGGTTGTCATTGG